AAAGTAACTAAGACATATGTAGACATAACACCCTCCCTAGTAAAGTCCATGTGTGAAGCCATTCAGATCTATTCCTCTAACACATCTCTGACCTAAGATTTAATCATTTCTACTAATAACCCATTAAGTCTAATTTCTTACAGGAAAACATTCTTGAAACTCAGGCAGAAAACAAAGCAAATTGCCTTTCTGTTGCCATAGTAACTACCCGAAGTGAGGAATCAGTTGTGCAAATTACAGCATTTCATTATCTAACCCAACAAATGTTTTCCTTGAGATTTGACCATATATTTTACAAAAAAAAATCACTTATAAAAGACTCTACTAATTAACCCATGTTAGAACATGTAGCATAGTGGCTAGCACAGTGGCTCTCAGAGGGAGGCAATTTTGGCCTCAAGTAAGATGAACAATTATTCTGGTTTGACCAGAACTTTACTGGTTTTAACACTGCAAGTCTTTTCTGGAGAACTCCTTACTGCCAGGTAAACTAGAATATTGGCCACCCAGGGGATATTTGCTAATGTGAGGAGACATTTTTGGTTGTTACTACTCAAGTGTGTGTGTGTGTGGGGGGGTGTGTGTTAGTGGGATTTATGGAGCAGATACTCTGGATGGATGCTACTAAACATCTTATGATAGATGACAAAGCCCATCACAATGAAGGTCCAACATGTCAATAGGGTCAAGGTTGAGAAACACTACTCTATATCTTTACTACTTAAGCAAGGTCTTTCGATTAGCTGTGTGGGCATCAACAAGAACACTGATAGAAATGCAGAACTTCAGGCCCCACCCCAGATCCAGTGAATGAGAATTGGCCAGCCCCTGACCACCTACCAGGAGAGTTAAACACACACAACAGCTGGAGAACCATTGCTCTGGAGCCCTTGCTGATCACTCTTTGTAAGGGGCAGCACACACTTAGGGGGATTCCATAGGCTAAGATGGCTTCAGTTAATTACAGTTACCAGTTTCTCATTGAGACAGTGTCACCACTTGGCCACCAGTGGCCTCTTTCAAGGCTGATCATTCTACCCAAAGGTCGGAATGCACCCTTGATCTCTGAAAAGGACCACACAATGTCTCAGGATCTTCTTTTGCTCTCCTGAACTCTGGAGGAAATTTTCTTCTTCCTAAAAGGACCTGGTTCATCTAGAAGAACAAGCTTGTGAGACCTCAAGTAGGCAGTGAGACTGTAGAGCTGAGCACTTGGGAAGGAGCAACAGGACACTAGGCAAGAGGTCAAGGAAATGTTTCTCTCCCTAAAACACACACACACAAACACACACATACACGCAAGTAGCCATAACCATAGGCTAACAGAATCCTACCTAATCAAGGATGAAAAATGAGAGAAATAATTGAGAAAAACATAAATTCTTGCATTTTAGCCTTATGCTCTTTTTTTTCCATACTGATGATTGGCCCTAAGGTCTTCATTTTTTGCAGTAGGAACTGTTAAATGGCACACAGAGATGCAAATATGAGTAAAACAAAAATGTGTACTTTGCTAGCAAAGGGTCAGCCTGCACAAGGGCTGTGCCATATGACTGACCCCAGACTGGGTTACAATCTATCTTTTATAGGAGTTTTACAATCATGACCTCATTTTAGGGAGTTCAATAAAACATTTCAATTCCTCAGTTTCCATCATAGATGTACAATCATGGTCACAAGACAGTTTAATTTTAACCCATATGTAACACCTTCTTTGTGGTTAGGATGTTTTTCTTTAGGATTAGTCTAGTTAGCTATTCTAGCCCACAAGAGTGGGGGTCAGGGTTAGGAAAGCAGGAAGGTTGACATTCTTTTTATCTTAACTCTTATAGTCATATGATTTACAGAAAGCTTAGGGTTTAGGGTCTAAGTGTACTTTGTTTGTAAGATATGGTGATTGTTATCTTAGTTTGAACATCTGGTCTTACCCTAGGGATGCAGCTAAGCACCTCTGGCATCTGTTAATCTTATAACATTTCAAACTGGGGCTAAATGCCTTCAAGCTTTGTAGTTAATGAAACTTCTGGTATTGTTGTCCTAAGAAATAAGCAAAGCAAAGCAAATTACATGAGTGAGAGACAGTGGTTATTCTATATTTCCTTAACATTTTATAGGTTTAAGACTATTTACAGAAGTTCTCTTTATCATATTGTTATATTGCTACATCCCCAGCCCTTTTTATATTTTTGAATATAAAATATAAGCCCCTAAATTGCCTTGGGAGGCACAAACTTGTGAACCTTCTGCCTCAGGTTTCCACAGTGCTGGGATTAGAGGAATGCATCCCCACACCCAACTATCATCCCTGTCTCAATCTCCCCCCACCCCAGGCTAACCTTGTTTCAGGTGACTCACCTGTCTTAGTGTCCGAAGTAGCTGGGACTAAAGGCATTAGCCATTGTGTGTGGTTTAACACTCTCATTTAATTATTTTTATAAACATCAATTCACCTATTCTGTTTAGTTTTTAACTCCAGTATTTTAAAAGTTTGTAGGCAACTGCATGATAATTCAGTAATACATAATCCAGAACTACAGAGTCACTTAAATATGTAAGTAGAAACTACTTCATTAAGAATCATCGGAGGTACAAGATCCCAATGATAAATGTAACTGTACTGTGTACTTAAAGTGTACCAAAAATGCAATAAAAAAGAGATCTTTAAGATTCAAATGAAAACACAGTCTATCTGATGGGTATTCAAGGTACTCAGTTATCTGGATCTATTTAATTTGCCTAAAATTCTCTATTGCTTACCCACATCTAACAGATCTGACAGTCATTCTTGTTTTCTCCTTCTGTTTTATTTCTTAGTATATATACAGCCAAAGCAAGCACTATTTATTTCTTATCTCCATATTTTTTCCAAGAATGATGTTTCTCCTCTCTTAAAATTCCTTTCATCTTATCTATAAGATGTCAATGAACTTTCTATATTGTTAAAGTAAAAATAAAAAAAAGAATCTTCAGAGGTAGAAAGTTGCTTGGATCAATGATGTTTTAAATAGCAGGCATGACAGCAGAGGGCAGATGCTGCAGCAGGCCTGAACCTTGGGGTGACTTAGCTGCCAGAGCAGATGCTGTAAGGCCTCCACTCCAGTCTCTCCCTATGTCAAAGTGGGGAAAGTGATCCAGGGTGGGCCAGTCAGAGATCCTGGCATGCAGAGGTCTGCCAGCTCCTTTTAGCTATTTAAGTGGCACATCAGCACATGGAAAGGGGATGAGGAAGTGTAAGGGGCAAAACCATGATAAATATGCAGGTTACTTTGTGGTTGACATGCAGGGTCAAGGCAGGAGGTGGGCAAATGTACTTAAAAGGTTGGCAGGACTACCATCAAGAAGGTCTTTGTGTGCTGTTACAAGAAATGCAGGCTTAGTCATGAGTCAGCAGAGACACGCAGGTCACAGCCTACATACCAACCAAGGGATCTTGTCTTTGTGTTACAAAATGAGGAGTTTGGATCGTCTTGAGACTTTTACTGATCTGTGAATCTAAAGGTGATCTTAATTTTGGCATTCAATTAAAAAGGAGTAGCATAGGTTTGAGAAGATTGTATTTGTTCTAAAAGCTCATAAGGTGGGGATGTTTTGCAATGAAACTGTCCCTGCAGTTCTCATCAGGATTTTTCTCTTTTCCATCCTCTGTCATTGCTCTCTTTAGTTCCATGTTCTGGCCCAAATGGCCTGGCATGGTGAAAATATATATATATATATATATA